TATATCTGAACTACTGTATTAGACCTGCAGTCTTCTGTGACATGCTAACGGGTACATATATCTGCACCACTGTATTAGACCTGCAATCTTCTGTGACATGCTAACGGGTACATATATCTGCACCACTGTATTAGACCTGCACTCTTCTGTGACATGCTAACGGGTACATATATCTGCACTACTGTATTAGACCTGCAGTCTTCTGTGACATGCTAACGGGTACATATATCTGCACTACTGTATTAGACCTGCAATCTTCTGTGACATGCTAACGGGTACATATATCTGCACTACTGTGTTAGACCTGCAATCTTCTGTGACATCCCAACGGGCACATATATCTGCACCACTGTATTAGACCTGCAGTCTTCTGTGACATGCTAACGGGTACATATATCTGCACCACTGTATTAGACCTGCAATCTTCTGTGACATGCTAACGGGTACATATATCTGCACTACTGTATTAGACCTGCAGTCTTCTGTGACATGCTAACGGGTACATATATCTGCACCACTGTATTAGACCTGCAATCTTCTGTGACATGCTAACGGGTACATATATCTGCACCACTGTATTAGACCTGCAATCTTCTGTGACATGCTAACGGGTACATATATCTGCACCACTGTATTAGACCTGCAATCTTCTATGTCATGCTAACGGGTACATATATCTGCACCACTGTATTAGACCTGCAGTCTTCTGTGACATGCTAACAGGCACATATATCTGCACCACTGTATTAGACCTGCAATCTTCTATGTCATGCTAACGGGCACATATATCTGCACCACTGTATTAGACCTGCAATCTTCTGTGACATGCTAACGGGTACATATATCTGCACCACTGTATTAGACCTGCAATCTTCTGTGACATGCTAACGGGTACATATATCTGCACCACTGTATTAGACCTGCAATCTTCTATGTCATGCTAACGGGCACATATATCTGCACCACTGTATTAGACCTGCAATCTTCTCTGACATGCTAACGGGTACATATATCTGCACTACTGTATTAGACCTGCAATCTTCTATGACATGCTAACGGGTACATATATCTGCACCACTGTATTCTTCGACCTGCAATCTTCTGTGACATGCTAACGGGTACATATATCTGCACCACTGTATTCGACCTGCAATCTTCTGTGACATGCTAACGGGTACATATATCTGCACTACTGTATTAGACCTGCAATCTTCTATGACATGCTAACGGGTACATATATCTGCACCACTGTATTAGACCTGCAATCTTCTGTGACATGCTAACGGGTACATATATCTGCACCACTGTATTAGACCTGCAATCTTCTGTGACATGCTAACGGGTACATATATCTGCACTACTGTATTAGACCTGCAATCTTCTGTGACATGCTAACGGGTACATATATCTGCACTACTGTATTAGACCTGCAGTCTTCTGTGACATGCTAACGGGTACATATATCTGCACTACTGTATTAGACCTGCAGTCTTCTGTGACATGCTAACGGGTACATATATCTGCACCACTGTATTAGACCTGCAATCTTCTATGACATGCTAACGGGTACATATATCTGCACCACTGTATTAGACCTGCAATCTTCTGTGACATGCTAACGGGTACATATATCTGCACCACTGTATTAGACCTGCAATCTTCTATGACATGCTAACGGGTACATATATCTGCACCACTGTATTAGACCTGCAGTCTTCTGTGACATGCTAACGGGTACATATATCTGCACCACTGTATTAGACCTGCAATCTTCTATGACATGCTAACGGGCACATATATCTGCACCACTGTATTAGACCTGCAATCTTCTGTGACATGCTAACGGGTACATATATCTGCACCACTGTATTAGACCTGCAATCTTCTATGACATGCTAACGGGTACATATATCTGCACCACTGTATTAGACCTGCAATCTTCTATGACATGCTAACGGGCACATATATCTGCACCACTGTATTAGACCTGCAATCTTCTCTGACATGCTAACGGGTACATATATCTGCACTACTGTATTAGACCTGCAATCTTCTATGACATGCTAACGGGTACATATATCTGCACCACTGTATTCTACCTGCAATCTTCTGTGACATGCTAACGGGTACATATATCTGCACCACTGTATTCGACCTGCAATCTTCTGTGACATGCTAACGGGTACATATATCTGCACTACTGTATTAGACCTGCAATGTTCTATGACATGCTAACGGGTACATATATCTGCACCACTGCATTAGACCTGCAATCTTCTGTGACATGCTAACGGGTACATATATCTGCACCACTGCATTAGACCTGCAATCTTCTGTGACATCCCAACGGGTACATATATCTGCACTACTGTATTAGACCTGCAATCTTCTGTGACATGCTAACGGGTACATATATCTGCACTACTGTATTAGACCTGCAGTCTTCTGTGACATGCTAACGGGTACATATATCTGCACTACTGTATTAGACCTGCAATCTTCTGTGACATGCTAACGGGTACATATATCTGCACTACTGTGTTAGACCTGCAATCTTCTGTGACATCCCAACGGGCACATATATCTGCACCACTGTATTAGACCTGCAGTCTTCTATGACATGCTTACGGGTACATATATCTGCACTACTGTATTAGACCTGCAATCTTCTGTGACATGCTAACGGGTACATATATCTGAACTACTGTATTAGACCTGCAGTTTTCTGTGACATGCTAACGGGTACATATATCTGCACCACTGTATTAGACCTGCAATCTTCTGTGACATGCTAACGGGTACATATATCTGCACCACTGTATTAGACCTGCAATCTTCTGTGACATGCTAACGGGTACATATATCTGCACCACTGTATTAGACCTGCAATCTTCTATGTCATGCTAACGGGTACATATATCTGCACCACTGTATTAGACCTGCAATCTTCTATGTCATGCTAACGGGTACATATATCTGCACTACTGTATTAGACCTGCAATCTTCTCTGACATGCTAACGGGTACATATATCTGCACCACTGTATTAGACCTGCAATCTTCTATGACATGCTAACGGGTACATATATCTGCACCACTGTATTAGACCTGCAATCCTCTGTGACATCGCAACGGGCACATATATCTGCACCACTGTATTAGACCTGCAATCTTCTCTGACATGCTAACGGGTACATATATCTGCACTACTGTATTAGACCTGCAATCTTCTATGACATGCTAACGGGTACATATATCTGCACTACTGTATTAGACCTGCTATCTTCTGTGACATGCTAACGGGTACATATATCTGCACTACTGTATTAGACCTGCAATCTTCTATGACATGCTAACGGGTACATATATCTGCACCACTGCATTAGACCTGCAATCTTCTGTGACATGCTAACGGGTTCATATATCTGCACCACTGTATTAGACCTGCAATCTTCTGTGACATGCTAACGGGTACATATATCTGCACCACTGTATTAGACCTGCACTCTTCTCTGACATGCTAACGGGTACATATATCTGCACCACTGTATTAGACCTGCAATCTTCTGTGACATGCTAACGGGTACATATATCTGCACTACTGTATTAGACCTGCAGTCTTCTGTGACATGCTAACGGGTACATATATCTGCACTACTGTATTAGACCTGCAATCTTCTGTGACATGCTAACGGGTACATATATCTGCACTACTGTATTAGACCTGCAGTCTTCTGTGACATGCTAACGGGTACATATATCTGCACCACTGTATTAGACCTGCAGTCTTCTGTGACATCCGAACGGGCACATATATCTGCACCACTGTATTAGACCTGCAATCTTCTGTGACATGCTAACGGCTACATATATCTGCACTACTGTATTAGACCTGCAATCTTCTATGACATGCTAACGGGTACATATATCTGCACCACTGTATTAGACCTGCAATCTTCTGTGACATGCTAACGGGTACATATATCTGCACCACTGTATTAGACCTGCAATCTTCTCTGACATGCTAACGGGTACATATATCTGCACTACTGTATTAGACCTGCAATCTTCTATGACATGCTAACGGGTACATATATCTGCACTACTGTATTAGACCTGCAATCTTCTGTGACATGCTAACGGGTACATATATCTGAACTACTGTATTAGACCTGCAGTCTTCTGTGACATGCTAACGGGTACATATATCTGCACCACTGTATTAGACCTGCAATCTTCTGTGACATGCTAACGGGTACATATATCTGCACCACTGTATTAGACCTGCAGTCTTCTATGACATGCTAACGGGTACCCATCATAGATTACCAAGCACTCCATCAGTTGGCGTATATTTACCAACACCTAAGTAAAACCTATATGCCAGGTTCTGAACATCGTTTATACACGTGTGGCCCTGAAGAGCCCCGCAGCCGCTCGGTATGGGAGGTGAGGTGAAATGGGTTTAACGTTGCACTTAAGAAGAGTTCGCTCGCGCATGTATGTTCATGTGTGGCTGCTTGTACTGCCTTTACGGTAGATCTCCACATGTAAAAACACGCGCATTATTCTGCAAAGATGGTTTTCTAAAATGCACAATTGTTGACTGGTCACAGTTTTAATACAACTTATTCCTTAAGCACGAACTATCCTGTCAATCCAACAGTATTTGCAGGTCCTCTTCTTTTCCCGCCAGAAGTACTACACAATCTGCGAATAACAGGATGCTGACGGGTGCGAAGCAAGCCATATTTTTCGTTTAAGACCTACAGGTTGCAAAACTGTATGTTCCCTACTGGATGACTTCGTGAGAATTTCGCTAAATAGCCAATTATTGCAATTAAGGGACATAATGGCCAGATTATATTGCGGATTAGGACCGAAGATGATTGGGGGTGGGGTGGGTGGTAATTGGAACCAGGGGAAAAGGCAAAACTGTTTTATTTACACATCTCCATAGATGTTACATACATCATCAACAGCACTATCAATTTTACAAACTAAGCAGGTGAGCTGCTGCATCGGCATAGGCCAAAACGGTGCAGTCGTTGCCCTGGAGTCTCGTCTGCAGCTGGTCTAGCCTGTGACCCAAAGCTCTGTACTTCCTTCCCTTGGGAGGTCTCCTTTGGCCAGCGTCGTACTGCAGGTGCCTGATCTCTGTTGTCGTCTGCTCCATCTTTAAGAAATGGATCAGGTCATAAATGTTGGGGTGGGCCTTGCACACCAACTTCTTCACCCTGTTGTGCCGTCCTTACCGTGTGTTGTTGGTGCGGGTGCCGTCAGTGGTGAAGTGGTTCCATCTAGCTTGGGAGAAGTCGCCCTCAATCCATTTTGTGGTGACGTAGTCTGCCAACTGCCTGCAGCATCTGTCGTCAGGCATCATTGCAATGGTGTCCAGCCACAAGTTTTCAACCTAAAAATAGGAACGAAATTGTTTAAAATAAGATAAAAAAAGGCATTCATAAAAAACATCTGATATGAAAGAAGTGTATCTCTGATTAGTAATTTCTAAAGAAATTTGTGAAAACGTTATACTTACATCATTTATGGGGACAAGGGGCAGCACGGTGCATCGCCGAAGAAATTTTTGACCTCCAGGTCCTTGCCGTAGTCCAACTGCAGGCCGCCAACCTGCTGGGTCTTCCTCCACAGACACTGTGTACAGTGGAAGAAACAGCCCTTCCACCTGGCATCAGGGAAGACTCTTATTGAAGCGTTCCTGGTGGCAGTCTCGACATCCATACTGTAAAGACAAACACGCACGTTTTTACAATTATATTACCAACGTTATATCAAATTTTTAATTAGTTGGAAATAAACGATAAATTATGTAATTACTATGAGACATTTATTTAATATTATATCTAATATTAATAAAGCCCAACCTACCTGCATTATCTGTGGTCGCAGTTGTATACCTCTGTGTCCTGCAGTCGCCTTCAGCAGCTGAAACCCTTTGATATAGGCTGCTTGCTTCTTGTCTGGTATCAGCAGGTAGACCAGGGGGAGCATCTGGCCCACGTCATGGATGATGTACAGCAGGTAGACCAGGCGGAGCATCTGGCCCACAGCATGGATAGTGTACAGCTGGAAGACCAGGGGGAGCATCTGGCCCAAGTCATGGATGGTGTACAGCTGGTAGACCAGGGGAAGCATCTGGCACACAGCATGGATAGTGTACAGCAGGTAGACCAGGGGGGAGCATCTGGCCCACGTCATGGATGGTGTACAGCAGGTAGACCAGGGGGAGCATCTGACCCACGTCATGAATGGTGTACAGCTGGTAGACCAGAGGGAGCATCTGGCCCACGTCATGGATGGTGTACAGCTGGTAGATCTGGGGGAGCATCTGGCCCACGTCATGGATGGTGTACAGCTGGTAGACCAGGGGGAGCATCTGGTCAACGTCATGGATGGTGTATAGCTGGTAGATCAAGGGGAGCATCTGCCCCACGTCATGGATGGTGTAAAGCTTGTAGATCAGGGGGAGCATCTGGTCCACAGCACCAGGGGGAGCATCTGGCCCACGTCATGGATGGTGTACAGCTGGTAGACCAGGGGGATCATCTGGCCCACAGCATGGATGGTGTACAGCAGGTAGACCAGGGGGGGCATCTGGCTCACAGCATGGATGGTGTATAGCTGGTAGACCAGGGGGAGCATCTGACCCACAACATGGATGGTGTACAGGAGGTAGACCAGGGGAAGCATCTGGCCTACGTCATGGATGGTGTACAGCTCGTAGACAAGAAGGAAAGAAGGAGCATCTGGCACACGTCATGGATGGTGTACAGCTGGTAGACCAGGGGGGGGGGGGATCTGGCCCACGTCATGGGTGGTGTACAGCTGGTAGACCAGGGGGAGCATCTGGCCCACGTCATGGATGGTGTACAGCTGGTAGACCAGGGGGAGCATCTGGCCCACAGCATGGATGGTGTACAGCAGGTAGACCAGGGGAAGCATCTGGCCCCCGTCATGGATGGTGTACAGCAGGTAGAGCAGGGGGAGCATCTGGCTAACGTCATGGATGGTGTACAGCTGGTAGACCAGGGGGGGCATCTCGCCAAAGACATGGATGGTGTACAGCTGGTAGACCAGGGGGAGCATCTGGCCCACGTCATGGATGGTGTACAGCATGTAGACCAGGGGGAGCATCTGGCCCACGTCATGGATGGTGTACAGGTGGTAGACTAGGGGGAGGATCTTGCCCACGTCATGGATAGTGTACAGCTGGTAGACCAGGAGGAGTATCTGGCCCACAGCATGGATGGTGTACAGCAGGTACATCTTGGGGAGCATCTGGTTCACGTCATGGATGGTGTAAAGTAGGTAGACCAGGGGGAGCATCTGGCCCACATCATGGATGGTGTACAGCTGGTAGACCAGGGGGAGCATCCGGCCAACAGCATGGATGGTGTACAGCAGGTAGACCAGGGGAAGCATCTGGCCCCCGTCATGGATGGTGTACAGCAGGTAGAGCAGGGGGAGCATCTGGCTAACGTCATGGATGGTGTACAGCTGGTAGACCAGGGGGAGCATCTGGCCCACGTCATGGATGGTGTACAGGTGGTAGACTAGGGGGAGGATCTTGCCCACGTCATGGATAGTGTACAGCTGGTAGACCAGGAGGAGCATCTGGCCCACAGCATGGATGGTGTACAACAGGTACATCAGGGGAGCATCTGGCCCACGTCATGGATGGTGTACAGCAGGTAGACCAGGGGGAGCATCTGGCCCACATCATGGATGGTGTACAGCAGGTAGAGCAGGGGGAGCATCTGGCCCACATCATGGATGGTGTACAGCTTGTAGAGCAGGGGGAGAATCTTGCCGACGCCATGGATGGTGTACAGCAGGTAGACCAGGGGGAGCATCTGGCCCACAGCATGGATGGTGTACAGCAGGTAGACCAGGGGAAGCATCTGGCCCACGTCATGGATGGTGTACAGCAGGTAGACCAGGGGGAGCATCTGTCCCACAGCATGGATGGTGTACAGCAGGTAGACCAGGGGGAGCATCTTGCCCACAGCATGGATGGTGTACAGCAGGTAGACCAGGGAGGATCTGGCCCGTGTCATGGATGGTGTACAGCTGGTAGACTAGGTGAGGATCTGGCCCAAGTCATGGATGGTGTACAGCAGGTAGACCAGGGGGAGCATCTGGCCAAAGTCATGGATGGTGTACAGCTGGTAGACCAGGGGGAGCATCTGGCCCACGTCATGGATGGTGTACAGCTTTTAGACCAGGGGGAGCATGTGACCCACGTCATGGATGGTGTACAGCAGGTAGACCAGGGGGAGCATCTGGCCCACGTCATGGATGGTGTACAGCAGGTAGACCAGGGGGAGCATCTGGCCCACGTCATGGATGGTGTACAGGTGGTAGACTAGGGGGATGATCTTGCCCACGTCATGGATAGTGTACAGCTGGTAGACCAGGAGGAGTATCTGGCCCACAGCATGGATGGTGTACAACAGGTAGATCTGGGGGAGCATCTGGTTCACGTCATGGATGGTGTACAGTAGGTAGACCAGGGGGAGCATGTGGCCCACATCATGGATGGTGTACAGCAGTTAGAGCAGGGGGAGCATGTGGCCCACGTCATGGATGGTGTACAGCTTGTAGAGCAGGGGGAGCATCTTGACGACGCCATGGATGGTGTACAGCAGGTAGACCAGGGGGAGCATCTGGCCCACAGCATGGATGGTGTACAGCAGGTAGACCAGGGGAAGCATCTGGCCCACGTCATGGATGGTGTACAGGTGGTAGACTAGGGGAGGGGCCCACGTCATGGATGGTGTACAGCTGGTAGACCAGGAGGAGCATCTGGCCCACGCATGGATGGATGGTGTACATGGTGTACAGCAGGTACATCTTGGGGAGCATCTGGTTCACGTCATGGATGGTGTAAAGTAGGTAGACCAGGGGGAGCATCTGGCCCACATCATGGATGGTGTACAGCTGGTAGACCAGGGGGAGCATCCGGCCAACAGCATGGATGGTGTACAGCAGGTAGACCAGGGGAAGCATCTGGCCCCCGTCATGGATGGTGTACAGCAGGTAGAGCAGGGGGAGCATCTGGCTAACGTCATGGATGGTGTACAGCTGGTAGACCAGGGGGAGCATCTGGCCCACGTCATGGATGGTGTACAGGTGGTAGACTAGGGGGAGGATCTTGCCCACGTCATGGATAGTGTACAGCTGGTAGACCAGGAGGAGTATCTGGCCCACAGCATGGATGGTGTACAACAGGTACATCTTGGGGAGCATCTGGTTCACGTCATGGATGGTGTAAAGTAGGTAGACCAGGGGGAGCATCTGGCCCACATCATGGATGGTGTACAGCAGGTAGAGCAGGGGGAGCATCTGGCCCACATCATGGATGGTGTACAGCTTGTAGAGCAGGGGGAGAATCTTGCCGACGCCATGGATGGTGTACAGCAGGAAGACCAGGGGAAGCATCTGGCCCACAGCATAGATGGTGTACAGCAGGTAGACCAGGGGAAGCATCTGGCCCACGTCATGGATGGTGTACAGCAGGTAGACCAGGGGGAGCATCTGTCCCACAGCATGGATGGTGTACAGCAGGTAGACCAGGGGGAGCATCTTGCCCACAGCATGGATGGTGTACAGCAGGTAGACCAGAGGGAGGATCTGGCCCGTGTCATGGATGGTGTACAGCTGGTAGACTAGGTGAGGATCTGGCCCAAGTCATGGATGGTGTACAGCAGGTAGACCAGGGGGAGCATCTCGCCAAAGACATGGATGGTGTACAGCTGGTAGACCAGGGGGAGCATCTGGCCCACGTCATGGATGGTGTAAAGCTTTTAGACCAGGGGGAGCATGTGACCCACGTCATGGATGGTGTACAGCAGGTAGACCAGGGGGAGCATCTGGCCCACGTCATGGATGGTGTACAGCAGGTAGACCAGGGGGAGCATCTGGCCCACGTCATGGATGGTGTACAGGTGGTAGACTAGGGGGATGATCTTGCCCACGTCATGGATAGTGTACAGCTGGTAGACCAGGAGGAGTATCTGGCCCACAGCATGGATGGTGTACAACAGGTAGATCTGGGGGAGCATCTGGTTCACGTCATGGATGGTGTACAGTAGGTAGACCAGGGGGAGCATGTGGCCCACATCATGGATGGTGTACAGCAGTTAGAGCAGGGGG